ACAGTTGATTGGCTTGATCAGTTTGGGAGGCAACTAGGCAGTGGGACCAAGTCCTGTGCTCATTGCATGAGTTGGCTGTTTGAAACCTGGAGCTTATGCAGGGGTACTTGGCTCAGTCTGGGAGGAAGGGACTGGACCTGCCTGGACTGTGTCTACCAGGTTGATTGCAGTCCTCAGGGGAGGACTTGTCCTGAATAATCTTTTAAGTGACTTTGGAATACTTTTTAGAGACATTTCTTTACAATGTGGTGTCTCAGCAAGTCTAAGATACAGTGATTTAAATAGTCTCAGATGAGATTTGTTACATGATTGGATTCAGGTAGGGCGGAGAGGTCTTTGTTGCTTGGATAGGGTGATTAGGAGTCCGAATGAACATCTTGGTTTGAAAGAGAATTCTTCTGTCTTGTTTAGGAGTGAGTAACAAACTGTTACATCAACATTTTCCTTTGGATGGATCAGTTAAATCATGGCTCATTATGGGGATTTATCACTCATAGAGACAGAGAAGCCTAGTATATAACTCTTATTAAAATTGGAAAATTTTGTTTTGCTGTGTAGTAAAAAAAGAAAGTAAAAGAAAAAAAAGAAAATTGCTAGGTTATCACGTTTTCTGAATGTACTACAACTTTGGAGACATTGTCCAAAGATACAAGCCATTCTATCAGAAATGCATTACTTTGTTTTATGTTTCAAGGTAGAATGTGAACCTTCTATTTGCTGCAGCTCACTATACGAATCCTCATCAACTGCTCAGAAATGCCACAGTGTGAGTTTAAAATTAGGTGGCATCTGTTTTTACAGAGTGGGGATATTAACAGAGTGACAGAGTTAGGAATGTCTGTTAAAACAATAGAAACAAAATGAATTTAGCATTTTCTAGAAATTGGAAGCCACAGTTTATGGGTGGCATCTGCCCCACTCCCCATATACTCCTACGCACTCAGGTCACAAGATGGATGCTGACCTCAAGCCCATTTACCCATTTATTTCCAAATTTCAATACTTCTCATTGAAATGCTGTTCAGGAAGGAAACTGAAAAGTGAAATATTGGTGTTTTACTTATTCAAGGAAAAGCAAGATTTGGCTATATTCTGTCTTTCCCAGTCTATATATTTAAATCTACAAACTGGCTCTGCTTACCGACAAATAAAGACTTTTCCCACTCTGAGATTGACAGATATAGCTAGACCAGGGAACGCCTGTAATCCCAGATACTTGTGAGAGTGAGGTAGGAGGATCAAGAACTGAAGGTCATCCTGGGCTGAAGGGTGAATTCAAGGCCAAACTGGGCAGTGCAGTGAGACCCTGATCAAAAATAAGCAAAGCTTAAAAGAAAGCATGGGATTATGACGCAGTGAGGCCCAGTGCACATGGCGTATGTGAGGCGCTATGTCTAATCGCTACAGCAAAAGCAAGGTCAGCATCATAGCAAATACCATTTTCATTAATGGACCGTGAGATACCGTACTGAGTCATCACGGCTTCTGTGAATGGCTCATTCATTTGGTCCTGAAAAGTGGAAGGGAGAAGGATTGTGTCAGAGTTTAGGAGTCTATACAGTTGTTGTCTGTGTCCCGGGGCTCATTTATGGAGCATAATGATTGGCCAGTGAGAACAGCTGCTCAGTTGATCTGTCTCACCATCACTTGCGATGGTGATGGCTATTTTAACCAGGGCACTCACAATTGCAAATCACTTTCCCACTCTGGGATGCAGAATACTTCAGTGTATGAGAAATGAGCTCAGTTTCCTTGCTCGTGCTTCCGTTTATTGGGCTCTATAGTAGACCTGTTTGCTTTGAAACTTAAAACCTGGGAGGTGGAGTGATGGCTCAGCAGTCCGGAGCACTTGCTGTCCTCAGAGGGGAGCCAGTGTGCTTCCCAGCACTCACATGCAACGGTGACTCATAACTGTCTAGAACTCCAGTTCTGTGGGGATTAGTGCCCTCTCTGACTTTGCTGGTACCAGGTACACATGCAGTGCACATACACATACATAGGCAAAATATTCATGAACACAAAATTAAAATAAACAATTCTTCTTGAAAATGAAGAGTAACTTTGTTGACTTGTGAGAATTGAATGAAATGTTATGTAAAAATAAGTTGGCTGGTAGGTAAATGGCAAGTTAGTATGCAATTCTTGTTTAAATGGGAAGATTTTAGCTTCCTACTGTAGAGGAGGAGGAAAGGTGGAACAGGCAGAGGTGGTGAGGACACCACCACTGAATTTTTGGGTTTTTAGTAGTAACAAAGGTTTCCCCAATAAATAGTATGGTAGATCTCCATACCTCTCCTTTCTCCAGTATTTGTGAGAAAAATACATTTAAAACCTGTGTGTGTGTGTGTGTGTGTGTGTGTGTGTGTGTGTGTGTGTGTGTGTGTGT